ACATGGAAGACAGTGAGGGAGAGAGATCGATGAAGAAATCATCACAGAAGAGGGCAATTGGACAAGGAATTTGAAAGACATTGGCAATTTTGTTGAGTTTACTTCATCAGTTGGTCCAGCAAAATCCCTGGGTGAAAATGGAAGTGAGATTGACTTTTTTGAACTTCGCTCTCCGAAGGTACCACATCAGCATTGAAACGAAGAAATATGCTCTCCCAAAACAGCATCCTCCAATGGTTCCAGACAGCGACTGGTATCCATCCACTGTCAAAGAAGTCAAACTTTATCTGGGAGTTAGAGTTTATATGAGCATTGTGAACTTTCCGTCATTTGGGCAATATTTGAGCAAAGATATAGTATTTGGAAATTCCTTTATTTCAAATGTGATGTCGAGGCATAGATTCCAAAAATTAATGAATACTTTCATGTTGCTGAAAGGACAACGATGCGACCTAAAAGTTTGCCAGACTTTGATAAACTCTTTTTAGTGAGACCTAGCCTTGATGCTGTTCACAAAAACTGTTTGAAAGCATATAACCCACATAAATGTTTTGCTGTTGATAAGGCCATGATAAAGTTTAGAGGGCGTTCCAGCTTTGAACAGTATTTGCCTGCCAAACCGACAAAATACGGCATCAGATTAGGAATGAGAGGAGACCGAGTGAATAGGTACTGCAATGATATTCGTGTTTATCCAGGAAAACCCACAGGCAAAGAGCCAGAAAAAAATCTTGGTCAGAAGGTGGTGAAGCAGCTTACAGAAAACATTGAAAACAAGGGACACCACAGTTGGACAAGGGACACCACACCACACTGACAACTATTTTACCACTGCTGCAGGGTTTGAGGAACAGTTTGATAACGGTGTTTATTTGTTTGACACAAAAAAAACAAATACAAAAGAGCTTCCAGAAGAAATGAAGGGGAAAAAATTTGCAAGGAAGCTGGATCTTACATCCAGTTTCAAAAAGGGGCATCACAGGTTCAGGAAACAGAACTGCTCAAAGAACCATCACCTAAATCAGGCTGAGTGGCAATCAGTTTTACATGAATTTGTGTTTGCTCTCAATACCATTGTCAGTAAGGCTACTAAATGCGTACCTTCCTATTTTTCGCCACACCGCCGTACTCCCTCAAGATATTGTTTTTCAGGGAGTTACTATTGACGAACACAAACATTTAACAGTGAGAGATTATGGTGAAGAGGCTAGTTTTGTTTTAGCTGATGTTTCCAAACAGATCGTGAAGTCATTGGAATTAAAGAAACAAAAAATGCACCAATACCAAAAGGACAGCAGGTATGATTAAAGACAAAGTGGGTGAACATAAAAAATTACCTCCTTGTTGTACTGGTCCGTGGACAATCATTAGCTCCCAAATCCAAAAGAAGCTCCCAAATGGTGTTGATTTTCAAATCAAAAGCATCACAATAAAGCAAAATTAGTTCATCACGATAGACTCTCCCCAGTAATTTCCAACAAGTTACTGTCAGCAGACATTGTTCCAGTGTCACGCCATTCTGAGAGAGACGAAGACACTCTACCCTGCTCTTATGATTATTCTTCAGATAACAGCATGTTCTCAGATTCGGATTCCCCTTATTCAGCTTCTGAAGACGATGATGTTGATGTTAATAGAAGCCAAGATAACAATCTATGTTATCCTAAACGAATTTGGAGATCAAGACTGTTCCAAGGATGCCTTCCTTGGACTGTATTGACTCTATAATCAAATATAGCCTGTGTCGTTTTTAAATTTTCATTATGTTCATTGTTTTGTTAGAGAGGGGGAATGTTGGAGTCTGGTGTTACCCCCTGACACCTATATGTATATTTTTTAGGGCTAAAGCAGAAATCACTATCACGTCCAGTTTTCTCACTTTATTCTCAATTAGTGACTTAAGGGGCGAAATTCAAGCAATAAGTTTTTCCTGGTTCATCGTTTATAAAATCCATTATCAGAGACAGGGGTTGGAAAATTAGCGACTTGCCAAAGCCAATGCTAGCACTTACATATATTGAATTTCCCATTAAGAATGCTGGTTCAGCATTACACAAATTTTTGATTTGATTCTCAACTTTTTTGTGAGATTCTTTCTTTGTTTATGTGTGAAGAGCCCCAACCTATCCAAAAAATAGAAAACCAATATTTACACCTACCATAGATCAATTACAACATACCAAAAAAAATTATCCCACATTAATGCCATCAAGTAACAAAAACTTAAACCAAAAACATAGTGTTCAATATTGAAAGGAATTATCGAATTTTTAGGCTCTATCTATTTGAAAGTAAATTTTCAGTCTTTATATATTTCAAAGCGGGTTTTCAGTTTCTATCTCTTCCAAAATTTAGCAAGATCAGAAATAGACAGCTATATTGTAATCTTTAGGCCAATTGAATTATCTGAGATTATACACACTGCATGTGATTCTTCTGGTCAATTGAATGTGATTCTTCTGGTTGTGTGTTTCTGCATTTGCTGAGAATTGAGTTTATCGCTGGCCATACTTTGTACAGCTTGTCATAGATGTTTCCTTTTTTTGGCTGTTATCATTGAAATGCAGGAATCTTCTCAAATTCTCAAATTTGTATCAACAATGAGAGGAATGCGTGTTTCTGGTGACCAATACATTCTATATTGAGGGTAGTTTATTACTCCCATCATGATCAGAATTACAAAAAACTGCTCAGTTTCTTTTTTATCTGTCTGGATTGATCTTCCCATACATTGAACAGAATATAGATTTGTTTGTTCAGCTACATGGCTCATCAACTTTCTTTCAAACAATGAGTAGAAATACTTTACAGAAGATGGAATCTCATCTGGTGGAGGTGGGTAGGCAGAACAGCTATATGATGAATCTACAGTAACTGGTTTCATATGCCTCCATCTGACGCTATTTTTGCCATTGTCTTTTGCCTTTACTGTTTTTCTTGCAGCCTGTACATTTTGGGTTCTGAGTCATCTTCACTAGCAGGATCAAGACATTCATCATCAATTTGAAATAGAAGATCTTCTGGTTCAATGTCATCCTCGTTGTCATTATCAAAATCATCATCATCACATCAAGCAATTAATTTTGTTGTTTGGCAGCAAGCTTAAGAAGTGAAGGGTTAAAGGTAAAGTTGGTTTGGAAGTTACACTTCAACTTCAAATCATACATAAAGAAACAAGCACAAATATATCTTACAAGTATACAACGTTTATTTTCTACCTGGTTTTGTGACCTGGGTTGATGTAGCAACTGGGGTAGGATGTTGCAACGCTTCAAAAGAAATAACTACTGTTTTTCACTTCAATTGGGAGAATATATATGAGCATCATGATAATAACGGAAATATAAGTTTATCAAAATAGAAGATTATCAAAACTATATTTTCAAAACAAAAGACAAACCGAAGAAACTATTTTAACACATCTTCTACATGTACAAACTTTAATCAGATTTAAAGATAACATAAAGTAAGAGAAAGGAAGAGAAAGGAAGATAAAATGCTAGAATCCAAAATTTGAAAGCAACCGAACAAATATTCAGAGCAAATAATGAAAACAGCTAAGCAAAGAAAATTATCAATTAAAAGGTTCTTCTGATGTCTACATTGGATATGCAAGTAATACACAAAAATCCCAATCAATATGATGCAAACAATTTTGAAATTTGTGTACTTTGTTAGAGGAACAGTTTCTGGGATTGAGACCTCATTCATAAACTACATCAAGGCAATTGCTGTCTTAAAGGATAGATTTGCAAATAAGCAACTCATCATTAACTCCCATATAGAGAACACCATATAAAACAACTTTGAGCGTGCGAAGTTTATAAACATTAGCATCAATTTTAGCACAATATGATGGGCCACTTGTACCCATGATAAGTTTCCAGAAGACTTGCTGTCACAAAATATGTTGACAATGAATGGGGCCTAGATACACTCTTGGCAGCTTTAAAAACTGAACTTAATGCAAAAGAACAATGAAAAGTAAAATTTAATGTAAAAAATCCTGGTGTTCCAATCGAAAATGAACCCCATGTCCAACTGCCAATGACTGCAGCCTTGTGAAGTGATAATGGGAAAGTGACTTGTTAATCACCCATCCGCTAAATATAATAACATCATGGAGCCAACATTAAAGTAGTTGATTTTGCTAAGAAAAGGTCAAAGAAAACCACTCATCAAATAATTGTTCAAGCAGTCTTTTCAAGTAAGCAAAGGGATACACGCTTTTTTTTTATAAGGAACCTAGCTCGGGCCTAGTTCTTTAAATTCCTTATTTTGAGACCTGTTTTGACCACTTTGTAGTTCTAAAAGTTCCTTAATAGTTCCTTAATTTTAAGTTGGCATTTAGTGGACAATAATTAGTACAGACGCAAGAAAAACAATCAAATTCAGCGTTTTGCTATAAACTTAAGAAAAGATAACAAGTTAAAACACAAAGAAGCTTCATATAATATAAAATTAATAATAATAGTCATTAAAGAAGTTGCATATCCACTCCATTGATGTCGTCTGACACAATGTAGTCTTCAGTACCGTCTTCGAAAAGAACTCTAAACTCTCCCAGCTTGGTGTTGAACCACTTCACTTGTCCAGTGTGCCATTCGTCGTAGAATGCGCGTATTTTTTTATTAATCAACTCATGTTCGTAGACACGATCTTTTACATGGTCTACTCTTTCATGCTCAAGCTCGTCAGGCTCAAGTTCTTCATCCCCTTCATCTTCTTCATCACTTACATCTTCCTCACAGGCTGCTGAGGCCTCTGGTATTTGTACAGACAGTGGATTTTCGGGGCCAGTCACAGGCAATGGTGGTGGTATTGAGTACCCAATCAGACCTTCAGGCTGAATTTTCTTGTCCTCCGACCCAT